GCAGCATTAGAACCTTAAAAAAAATTAAATCTTTGAATAATTTTATAAATAAATAAAAACAAATGAATTAAATCAATGATACAATTAAATAATATCCAATCAGTAAATATTATTAAAACAAACGAAATATACAAATATAAACCAAGAGGATATTTTTTCTCTTAGAGGGCGCTATTGAATCGACATGACTTGAGTATGTCATGTATTCTAATTAAACCATTTTATTATTTCAGTCATTGTAACATGACAACAGTAGAACAAACCTAATAAACTAGCTTTATTATTGTCTTGAGAAGAACAACTTAGTTATTCAAAAAGGACAAATCTTTATTTTAAGACATTTCTATGAGTAAAATCGCAAATTTGAATTTTTCCAAAATATTTTTTTCAAATGCGCGTCATAACGAGAATAATATAAGAACGAGATGACAAAGAGCATGTTTAAATGACATCAATAAGAGTTAAGAAAGATAAAAAAAAAACATTCAAAGTTTCACAATAGTAAATTAAGAACGTATCACTTGTTCTTTTCTATCTGTAATAGCTTTATCAATAGTTTTTTTTTTTAAATCATGAATAACGAAAAATGTCATCATTTTTGAAATTGTACGAATACTTTTTGCGGCAATTGTATATAGGTCAAGATTCTGCGAATTTTTTTCTCTTGTCCTAAAAATAAAAAAAGCTCAAAGCATTTGCTTGAAAACAAAAAAAGTGTAAAAAAAATTTATATCAAAGGAAATGTAGATTGGAATGATTACATGAATAGAACTGTGTTAAGATATTTATTACATCGTAATAATATATGTTTACAATCAACTCCAATATTGATTGATGAAATTCAAAGGTATAGGCATTGAAATCATCATTCATTTCTAATAAATTATAATGATTACTTACCATTTATCAACTTTTTCCGATATTTTTCTTCACATTAACTATTTTTTACTAACCATTGATAATCGAAAAAAAATGCTGAAAAAGAAATTATAAAGATTCGACAAAATATATTGTGACATATGTTATAAATTCATAAAATCGATTCTAAATATAATAAAATATCGAATTACAAAACAAAGATATGTAATCCACAAGGAAGATCGTATCAACTTGTAAATATAATATTATTGATCATTTGTGAGTGTATTTAAATTGAAATCTAATTATTGCGTATGTTACTTATGAATGAGAGTTTTTATTTTTTTACTTTTAAGATATGAGAAAAAAAACCTCTCAGAATCTTAACATATACATAGTTTCGTCATTGTTAAGGATAGAAATATGAAAATTCAGGTTAATATTTGCCTAGTTATAAGAAATAAGATATCAAAATATTAGCATTCTTGGAATTGTTATAAGCGAAAGAGAGTAATTTTTCTGAGAGGATCCAAGACTTTTGAATCATCCACTAATTATCAAATTATATAAATATTCTTTTAAAAACGAATAATTTTTCCATCTTTAAGAATTAAAAGAGATTTTTAATTGACTGAGTATAGAACAGTAAGACAAAATTTTGGCTGATAAAGTTGAAATTTATAGATATGACTACTAACTCTAGGCTATACATTTTCTGAATGTTGTGCATCATCGTAACTTATCTTATTAATATAGGTCAAAGTAACCTCAAAACATCTACCGCCCTATAACTTTAAAAAATAATTAGAATAATCATATTTGGAAGAAAACAGTTAAGACAATCATTTGATTTTCAGATAAAATGTACTGAAAAAAGAATGTTATTCTATTTTTATTATTATTTATAAAAAAAAAAAAGAATAAATATAAATAAACTCTTTATGCTAATTAGATAAAAATAAAGATAAAATAAAAATAATAAGGGCATTTTTTTATAGGACTCTAATTTTTAATTTTTAGCCGACGAATTATGCAAATTAATAAAATTATAAATACCAATAAAATATACAGAAAAGTTTTTTTGCATTCATATTTTTATGAATCATCTCCATTTTTTCAAATGACATTACATACTCAAATAATACTGATGATAAGAAAGAACATTGATTAACATATCCTGTTGTTCTACAAGTTATTTATCTTTAATTTATAAATCTAAAAATTATATTTATATATATATTTTATAAAGTAAAAATAAACTAACATCTCTAGTACTAAATGTCAAAATATCAGTAGGATTTTTCTATGCAGTAATTTTAGAAACGAAGTCAAAAAAAAAATATTGATTATCGTGCTGATTTATTTTTGTACGGTGGAACGGAAATACTGACGCCAAGTAACAAATTGTACTAAAGAGATTGCATGAAAAGTAATAGCATTGATAAAAAAACGAAGTTTTAATTTACAATTTACAGCAATAAAAAAAAATATGTTGTCGTATAATATTTCAACCGCGATGTCTAGTATGACAAGTTATCTATTCGATATATTTTTCTGTTCAAAATAAATAAAGGATAGAAAGTACAAAGTACAGTTTAAAATGGCCGTTGTTCTTAATGTTCTTTATTAACACTCAAGATGTACGCAAGTCTATTGTTTTTCAGCAGTAGATTATTTTTGTGGTACATGGGAAGGTCTACTGTAAATGTAGCTACTAACACAATAGGGCATTTGTTTTGTAATAAAACAATACTCGGTTTAAGTCAACGAATGTAAAAGTCGTTTCATGCAAAAGAAAAATTAGTACAAAATAAACGGGGGTGCTCTATGATCACATATCAATGTAACTATTCACGCAAAACGAAGACAAAAACTAAAGAAACGGGGGTGCTCTACTGTCACTCATCAATGAATCGATTTATGCATAACGAACGTCAGAGCTAAGCAGAGTGGGGTTCTCGACGATCATACATTGATGAATAATTTTTTTCTAACTTTTTTTGTTAATATACCCGTTTTATTTGCTTTTCATTTCACTAGTCGAATATTGATTTATTGTGAAACATTAAACTTGGTTTCTTTCATTTGATTTCTTAGCTAAAACATAATGAGTAATTCAGCGAATGAATCAGATGTTTCTCCTCCACTGCCTCCAGTGTTGTCATGGTATTGTGATGGTTGTCGTCGAACAATCCATGGTCGTCGTTACCAGTGTCAACTTTGCAGATGGAACACCTCTTATGATCTTTGTGATCGATGCTTCAACAAGACCCCATCATTACATCCGGGACACCCATTTCGTCTGATAGAAGCAAATAGCATCACTCCACGTTGATGATATTAATACAATTTATACGACTCGATGACATTGAAAGTAGTATAGAATAATACAATGAAACTGCAAGTAGGGTTATTTTAGTTTTCAGTTTTTTTGATCAAATAATAAATTTCTCGAAACTGAATATTAAAAGAGAAAAATCAGATGAATGACAGCTAACACCTATGTGTACACAGCTTGTGTATAATAATTCGCCATATTGAAGTGATTTATGAATGAACTTAGAGATGTAGATGAACGTTTTCTTGTTGTTAGTCCTAGAAGTTGTCTATAATTCATCTAAATTTCAGGACATTTGTTTTTGCTATCACAGATTTATAGTTCATAGACAATAAAGAAAAAAAAAGAAGAAGAAATTCTTGAACTGCTCGTTACACTGTTTGTCATCGTATTATTGATCGATATTTTTAACGTTCAAAGTTAAAGAAAACCTTGAAAAAACAGTTTAGAATGCCTGCTTGAAACTTTTGACATTCTGAATACGATGAATAGATTGAAATTTACATTAACAATGAGAGTAATTCGGGTGAACACAGGAAAGTCATCAGAACTTTATGTATTCAAATCAGATATATTTTTCATCGATGAAAGAAAAGGCGAATGATATTTTTTAGATTAAACGAAATGTTTTTGTATTTTGTGTATATATGACTTATTCTTCAAGTGAAGCAAGAGAATATGAATCATTGACGTATAAAATGATTGCTTGTTTTCAATTATCTGACTTTTTTCCTCTGCATGTTATTAGCAATTATTTTTTGTTTATCGATACTCTTTGTATGATGTTATTATTGAAGATATTTATTCAATACATTGAATGCTTCATGATAAATAAGTTTTTCAATAGTTCATCTACGAATTATTTGGAAAAAAGATCACACAATACAAGTGAATTGAGAGGAAATAACAAGTAATAATTTTGATGTATCACTGTAGAACTCAAATGAGATTTTTCTCAAAAGCGATGACATATGGAGAATCTGTTGCATTTTAATTAGCCATGTACTAAATCCTAAATATTCAGATATTAAATTTGAACGTCAGTTTGAGTGTGATAACCATGTCCACCAAATAGTTTTAGTTTGAGTCTAGTATATGCCTAACCTCAATATAGGGATGTGTATATTCACTGAATATCCAATGAAGAAATTTTCTTATTGCAACAAAGAAAAAATCTTCATAAAATGATGACGAAAAGACATTGAAGTACTTTGAAAAATCTCAAAATGATGATAAGCCAGGAAAGAATAATATTGTAGAGAACAAGTGATAGAGGAGAAATATACTAACCAAATAGATGTCTAATGGAAAAATAACAAGTACGTCGAAAGTTTTTAAGCTAAATGTTCCTTAATTTTTCGACGGATCAAGACGGTTAGTAGAGGATAATAAATACCTGTTTAGAATCAGAATTTTATGCTCTTTCTGAATCAATATTCAGAGTTTTTTTTTGAGACCCGTAAGTTAGGTGTTATAAGCAATTCTTTGAAGATCTGTTAATCAAATTTGATTAATTTTAGTTCATTTTTAATCATCTTATATTGTCCTTCTTGTTGACATTCATGTTTTGTTTGTCAGCTAATCATATGAAATTTTCTTTTTTTCAATATTTTATTTGAAATAAAATTAGTTACACTCATTGGAAGTCTGCTGTATGGTTGTGTGTTCTTTTAACGGATATTTTATTCAGCGAACAGGTTGTCGACGAATCAATCGAATGAAATCATTTCGAAATTTACTAGAGCAAAGCATATAAACTAAAATAAATAAAGTATAATGACAAATAGAACATATATTTGAACCTTTAACATGACATCATACCATAGAATTGAGCAACACAATAAATATAATTCAGTATTGGACTAATAATGTATCCAACAAGTGCTTCAATAGCTAATCGCATTTCACTCTTTTGATATGCGATGGGCGTCGTGATAAAACCATAGAGTACATTAACAGGATACAGAACTGTGGTAACTAAATAGACCAATACTTCACCCGCTAACATTCTCATCAGATCTCGATCAGCTTTGTGTAAACGAATTGCAACAGGATTTTGTCTTGGTCTAACTTGTGATCGGATTCGCTTTAAATTATGCAAGGCAAGTATACCAAAGAAAATCATCAAGAATGGTGGAAGAAAACCAATAAAAATAAATAAATAAATAGCAAATGCCAAAGCATAATTAGAAGGTGCGCCACAATGACCAGAATAATTATTAATGAAAATAGCCATATGCACTGGTATGATTGGCCAAATCAATAAAAGACTGAGAATAACGTTACGAGCAATTTTTGGTCGACAAATTGATCGAATTCTAGCATTTGAAGAAGTAAGAGCCCATCGATCAACACATGCAGCTATCACTAGAAAAGAAAAACAAACAAATGATTTCATCTATCTGGTAGTAGAACTTACTGAAACTTCGTGACAACATTAATAATATTTGTCCACCATACCAACGTAATTTACATACGACAATTGATCTGTGTTGTGGATCAACATGATCAACTCCATAGAGTGTAGAGATAAGTGTAGTATTAATCAAAACCCAATTTACAATTGAAGCAGCTAACAAATAATATGTACATGAATTAGGTTGTTTTCTTAATGTTCGTATGAATATAAGACTTGTTAGAATATTACCCACATTACCCAACACAATTAATGTCGATAAGCCATAACGGCCTAGATTTTTTTCAATGTTAATTATAGTTGAAACTGACATTCTAAAATATATAGTTGAAAAACAAATGAAGAGATACCTCTATTTACTGTTTATTGACTAGATTTTATAAGAAAATAATAGCATTGACGTATAATACGGAAACACATATCATCAAAAATTATTAATATAAATCTCATACGTATGAATTATACAATAACATACTGATTAAATTAAATGAAAGAATATTTTCAATGCTCTTAATGATGGATTTTTCAATGTGTATCGAATGCTACTACTGATGAATGTTTAAAAAATATTTTTCATACTATTGTATCCAAGTTGATTATTCTGACTATCTAAAACGGTGTGATTACTTCTCAAAACGATCGCCAGTTTTCACCGAAACCTCAACCACGCGTTTTAGGAGAGTCGTTTGAGCTAAAAACCAGTGCAGAATATTAAGACCACATTGACACCGACTCTACCACATATAGAGTGCTTTCATTACACGAATCACTTCGTAACAGAGAATAAAAACGAACCACCCAAGTGAGCTGAAAAAGACGTGCGAGGGATGCGCCGAGCCCTCGACCCATCGGAAAATGGCAAACCCAGGGGTCGATTTGAAATTTCGATGGGTCCAAGGCTAGATGGTGAGTAACTTGATAGTTAGCAGAAGCATAGGATCGAAGTTTTCGTAATATGTATCGTGGTGCTATCTGGGGCACCAGGTCTGCCCATCGGAATTTCAAATCGACCTCTGGGTTTGCCATTTTCCGATGGGTTGAGGGCTCGGCGATGGGTATCTTAGAAGACATCGACGGTGGAAAATCGAGGGGTCGAAATGCCTATCGGATGGTCGGTTGGGCAATTTTTTTGAAATACACTCGAGCCACTTCTCAAAAAAATCGACGTCGAACTGAACCAAATCTTCTTAATTGTTGAGAAACCAATGAATATAGACAAGCACATAAAAAAAAATGCTCGATTATTAAATCACGAAATAAATACTACAAAATTTATATTTAAAATAAATTTAAATTAGCAAGAATTCAAGTTTAGAATAAATTAAGAGGAAAATGCATCGCTTATCAACGACTGAACATGAACCAAATCGAACTATAACCGCTCGGTTCGGTTCAATTTGGTCTCTTCTCCTTAAATATAATCTTGATTACACTTTCTATTATCACACGATGCATTTCTGTATTCGGATTTATCATCACTATCTATATCCAATGAAGATATATGAAAAAAAAGCACTCACAGACGCAATAATCATGTCTACTATGCGTAAAACTATCATTAAACTTTGTTTTTTAGATAACATAATTCACTAATAAAATAGAAGAACTGTATTTTCAAGGATGTATTTTGTAACAACTCACTATGGTCGTTTTCGCCGTTTTGAAAGGTTTACAAACTGTTGTTTCTATATGTAATGAAAAAAAATCATTGAAGTTTAAATAAACTTCGTAGTAGATATCTACAACATAAGAATGGATTCTACTATTCATGAAACTTAGAGAAAAAAAATAATGCATACGAAATATGTGAAGATGTGCACTTGTACTCAGTGGTCTAATATGTGTATCATGTAGCAAGAAAAAGATACGTCTTTTTAGAATGCACGTCATATTGTCGAGTAGACCTCAATGCCATGCATCCATCGATGCTTAAACTAGCTCAATTAGAAATGTTAGATAAAGTCATTCAGATTTATCTATTAAACATGATGAAAAACTATTCAATGATGATTATAAAATAGGTTTTGATTTCATGTAAAAAAAAAAAAAACTTGAATATGAGATGAAGCCTGCGATTGTAAAAATGATCGTTCATTTAAAAACGTAGACGACAATCCTTACAAATATTGCCTATCACTGTATGTTTCCATTTTAGACCGCATTGTAAATGATTAACAGAACGGAAGTTGTTTTTCACCATTTAACAGTTGTTCTATTCGACCTAGGTATATAAAACAATTCTAACATATGAACAAAAAACAGTTACTCGCATAAAATGTCTTCAATCTTTCTCTAAAAGTGCAATAAGGTTATTGTGGATCTACTTCTTATATATATTTGCACTACATATTTCATTTTCCTAAAGGATTCATTATTCTTTTTCTTGTTCCTTACTTATTAATTAAAAGAATTTTCTAGTGATGTGCTTTTCAATTTCTGTTTTGCTAGTTCTATGACTATGCACTCTTTCTCTCTCGGATATCCCTATATATCCGTACAAGTAGATGTTCTAATTAACTTTTCTACAAGTTTTTCTTTTATAGGTACTCTCTAATCTTAATATAAAGACTATAAAAAATATACATTCTAGAAATAAATCTTTCTCTTTTTGGAAACATGTTTCAAAGATGGAGTAAAGAAATATATACTATTTCGGTTGAAAGAAAATATTTCATACACACTTTCATAATTAGAATCTATTTTTTGTCATAAATTTTTCTATTCATTAACAAATATCGAATTGAGTTTCTTGATTATGACATTTATCGAAAATGATGATATCCAAATTTCTATATATTCCATTTTAAATATCATTGATAGTCTTCCAAGTTAGGTCAACTCAGTCTAAAGAATAATTCACAATCCTAAGTTTTCTTTCTTTTACAAAAAAAAGTAGTATTTGGTTACATTGACACAATGAAAATTTTTTTTTGACTGAATCTCGGTCAATTTTTTTTTTTGTTAATTAATTATTTTTTTTTGTGTCATGTTTGACAGATTTATATGGTTACTGATGAAGAGCTTGCGCTACTTTACAACATTTCTAGTGACAAGTAACTGTCTAGTTGTCACAGAAGAAATGACATATATATTTTGTTTGCGATTATTACTTGTTAATCTTTCTTTGAGGATTATGTCAATTTACTAATTATGAATTTTATTGTTGTTTTCACTCAAGATTCTGATAGGCATATTTTCATTTGATTATTACCAAAATAAACAATTCTAAGCTTATTAGTAAATACAAAAGAAAATATTCAGAATAAATCCGAATAATAAAATTTCGTACCAAATATTATAATAAATATGCTTCTATATTTGTTAGAAATGCTACATTTTTCATATTATCTTTTGCATAATTCATTTCTTGGATGTATAATAATGTGTTGATTTCAAATTATCTTTATTATAAAAAACAACAACAGCAACATTCTTTTCAGTAGATCATTTCATTCACTTTTATGTACACAATAGAAAGTCTTTGAAATTCTAAATAATTTATGAATTACAACAATATTTTCTACAATGCAATAATTTTTCAAAAGTTAAAATAAAATTTCAACGAAATAAAGATAAAACAAGAAAAATAAAAATAAATAGTCGACCAAATTAAAACTAATATATGAACTGGACTATGATTAAACTAATAAAAGTTTTTCACATGTAGTGGTACTACATCATATAAACACGATATGAAATGTGTGTAATGATAAATGAGCTACCCAATATTGATAAACACCCTATGTAATACGTAGAAGTCGTATAAACTTTGACGATTAATCGTGATATTTTATAAACAACAACGTACGAATGGTCTATATAAAAATCATTCGTATATTTTGTATTTCTGCAAGTAAGAAAAATTATATTTTGATAATTTTTGCCTTCAAAAAAAAAAAATATTTTCAGTATCTCTTTAGCATGATATCTAATAGACATTTCGGATTGAATATATATAATCAAAGTAGTGTCAATCAATAAGAAAAATAGGCATGGCCATTCTGTTTTTCCAGATCTTGTATAATCCATCTTATTGTATTAGTTAGATTAATCCTATCAGTAAGTATTATTTTAGAATATGAATTCTATTTTGATATTTACAAAAAAAGAAGAAAGAAAAATTCTTCTACCTAACTTCAAAAAAATGGACGATGTTTCTCGATTTTTAATAAAAACGGAGATACACTAATGATCTTTTATGATTCATAATGGCACCTATTTAAGTGCTAAGTAAATATATATGAATGCTAAGTTGATTTGTGCTAAGTAAAATTTATGTATGCTCAGTAAATAAGTTAGATGTTCAATAAATTTATTAGATGATAGATTAAATTAATATTTCTCTATAATTAACATTTTTGTCAAGTTTGATAATTAATATAGAAGTAAAATTTTTAATTATTAAATTAATAAATTGGGTCTTATAATTAAGAAAACATATTAGATAAATAAAAAAAATTGTTAATAAGTAAATATGATTAAGACAAGATAAGATAACGATTGTCAGTTCATGATTTGGCTTGTACATTTTTTTCTCTTGCCTTCTGTTAGTACTGATGTGACACTATAAAATAAGTAGATTTCATCTTTATTTTCTTATGTTATGATATCATGCGTGAATACACATACACTGTCTTCAAGCATGTTCAAGTACATTTTTTTTGTCGCTCTCCTTCTCCAGCGATTATATGTGATCTCTGTTGTTTTCGGGAGAGTTCTTCCCTCTGCATATGGCATTTTCTAGTGAGTTCTTCTCTTCTTATTCTTTTGTATATATACATTAGTGATGCATTTCATTTGGCAAAATCCTCAAAATTAGTATGACAATTATCATCTAAAACAAAAGGTTTTACTAACTACTATACACTAGCTGGTGAGGCATAAAATGGCACAAAAAATGAAGTCCCAAGATGCAAAAGAAAAAAATGGACGCCATTCAATCAATTTAAAGATCTTGAATTTGAATATATAGAAAGTAACTTTGTCAGACATTGAATCAGAATGGAAAAGTGGATTTTGCAATTGTTCAAATTTTTTAAAGAATGTATTTTTTCAAACATGTGGTTGGTATGGCAATTATATTGAAATTTTTCAAAAAATCTCCAGCAGTAAAGGATGTACCCTTGGATGAAAAAAAATGAGGACGACCATGAAAAGCAACAAAAGCTTTATTAATCGAATAACTATTCAATTAAAATTTTTATTTATACATTTCTGTATTTTTACTTAACAAAAATTATATGTTTACCTGTCAATTTCTAATATTTTGTCTAGAAAATTAAATTTTTCCATTGAGAATTTAAATAATATACT